AAAAAAAAAAAAAAAAAAAAAAAAAAAAGTGGTATATACATATAATGGAATTTTTTTTAAGAAAGAAAATTCTGATATGAGCTATAATGTGGATAAACCTTGAAGACATTATGCTAAGTGAAATAAAAGCCAATCACAAGAGGGAAAATATTTTATGATTCCACTTTTTTTAAGAGACCGGACTCGGTCTCCAAAAGTGCTGGGATTATAGGCATGAGCTACCATGCTCAGCCTATGATTCCACTTATAAAAGGCACCTAAAGTGGTTAAATTATACAGAAGTAGAATGGATGGTTGCCAGGGCTCAGGAAAAGGGGAAATAGGAAGATATTGTTTACTGGGTAGAGTTTCAGTGGAGGAAAATGAAAAAGTTCTGAATGTGGCTGATGGTAATGGTTAAACAGTAATGTGGATGTACTTGGCTGGGCATGGTGGTTCACGCCTGTTTATCCCAGCACTTTGGGAGGCCAAGATGGGTGGATCACCTGAGGTCGGGAGTTCGAGACCAGCCTGACCAGCATGGAGAAACCCCGTCTCTACTAAAAATACAAAAATTGGCCAGCCATGGTGGTTCACTCCTGTAATCCCACACTTTGGGAGGCCAAGGCAGGCAGATCACGAGGTCAGCAGTTTGAGACAAGCCTGGCCAACATAGTTAAATGCCGTCTCTACTAAAATTACAAAAATTAGCCGAGTATGGTGGTGCACACCTATAATCCCAGCTACATGGGAGGCTGAGGCAGGAGAATCACTTTAGGTTGTAGTGAGGGAGGCAGAGGTTGTAGTGAGCCGAGACCCGTGCCATTGCACTCAAGCCTAGGTGACAAAGTGAGACTCCATCTCAAAAAATAAAAAATAAAAATAAATAAAAATATAAAAATTAACCAGGCATGGTAGCTTATGTCTGTAATCCCAGCTACTCGGGAGGTTGAGGCAAAAGAATCTCTTGAACCCGGGAGGCAGAGATTGCAGTGAGCTGAGATCACGCGATTGTACTCCAGCATGGGCAACAAGAGTGAAACTCCATCTCAAAATAATAATAATAATGTGAATGTACTTAATGCCACTGAACTGTGTGTTTAAAAATGGTTAAAATTTCTATTTTACTACAATTTTAAAAATAAACGCATAATAATAGCTCTTACCTCATAGGGTGATTGTGAGGATGAAGGAGATGAATGTTGGCTGAAGGAAGGGCTAAAATGAGTAACAACATTTATGAGCCTGTCCTGGAGAGCAGGGTTGGGAATGGGAGAGGGAGGGGTGGAGGGACAATTTAACTTTCTACCTTAATACATGTACCCATTGTTTAGGTTTCCCCCAACTGTTATATTTTTATAACTCAACAAAATATAGATGTGGCGGGCTGCTTATATTCTCAAGTTATTGATTTGTTCAGGTCTTAGTGTCCACAGAAAAGGGTATGAGCTTTGGGATCAACATTCTATCCTTGGCCAATATTTGACCTTCTGTGTTTCTCTCCTTATGTGTATCTTTCCCCAGATTTTTTTAGCTTTGCTTACCTTACTCCTCATCCACCCCCAATTAACTTGAGTCTTAGTCACAAAAATCTTCAACCTCCCTGTCTGATCACTAGATCCTCCCTTCTCATCTGGGAAAGGCCCAGACTCAGATAGAAGGGCTCCCTGTCTCTCTGACCCCGTGTCCCCTGAATGCCTCTTCCCCATTTTTACCTGACTTTATTCAGTGAAATCTTCCCTTAGAGCTGATCTTTTAGTTCCTCACTTTGCAAATTGTGAGACCCATTCACCCAGGAGGCCGGAGATGGCTCAGAGCCCAGACAGCCGGAAGTCTGTTTCCTGGGCCGGAGAATGCTGGCAGAAGTCCAGACAGCTGACGTCACCTGGTCCAGATGGCGGAAGCCATTGCCCAACCATAGGAAATTGATGCCAACAACACATTTCTCTATGACTGTCTCCCTCAATCCAGAAAAGCATTTTCCTAGAGAGAAGGCAGCTGAGTAGTAGTGGCAGGTGGCCTGGCCTTCAGACCATGTGATGTGTTGAGTATGAGGCTGGCCGCAGGGTCAGCTGATGGATAACGTGAGACTGGAGCACTAGACTCCAAGTCAGAAAACGTAAGTCTGAGTAGGAGCGTGGCCACCTAACTTCTGACCTTTGACAAATCACTGGATTTCCTTCAACTGGCTTCTTAAAAGCTATGAATAATAATACCTCACAGAAGCTATTATTGCAAGACTGGAATGAGGTCATCTGTATAAAAGATTTCATAAACTTGAAGCAGGACGCCAAGGCAAAATTCTGCCTCTGTGAGAGTCTTCCTGGGAGAAGCAGGTCCCAGGGAGCAGAATGGAGAGTGATTGCAGGCTGATCCCAGAGCCAGGCAGCTGGCACCATGTGAAAGTGGGTTTGCCGCTGCCTAGCTCTGCAATTGGGATGCATAACATAGCCTCTCTGTGCCCACTCAGTAAAAATGAGGATAAGAATGCCCATGTCACAGGGTGGTCTTGGGGGCAGGGGGCAGTGAGTGACTTACTCCAGGTAGAGCACATAGCACAATGCCCAGCGTGTGACAGCACTCACTGCAGAGTAAAAATTAGGAAAAAAAGTCAGGCTGATGAGACCAGGGGAAAGCAAAGGAATGAGGCAAATGGCAAATGGCTCAAGACATATGGCCCTCCTGCTCAGATACTGTACGTAACTCACAAACTTCTGCTTACCATCAAACACCTCAATTTATCAAACATCCCAGCTGACAAAAAAAAAATGCAAGTTACCTCCCTGCTCCCCTGTCATCATCAGTACTGCACACAACACTCTACAGCCTAAGAGCCATCCTACAAAACCCTCGGCAAGCCTTTGTTTCCTTGCAGTCAGCTGCTCTTCTGCTGGCCCGCCTATTGTCCCCTGGAAATGTGTTTTCCTGCTTTCTCTGTTAGGTCTGCGTTCCTCTACCTACAACTGACTTGGTGAATTCTGTTACCCCTGGGCCACCAGCCCAGACAGTTGTTGCTCCCTGCAACATTTTGGCGGCCCATACAGGGAATTCTCCCTCTCCACACAGGGACTCTCTCTCCTTTCCCTGTTCCAACTCAGGATCCTCGAAGGACAGCATCTAAGCACAAAGACAACTGCATGTCTCTGGCCAGAGCTACACTCCAGTGGGACAGAAAGGTGTCGGTCCATGTGGAAGCATCTGATCACCATCGTCAGGTTTGGGTGAGGGACCTGAGTTTTTTCTTTTTTCAGTCTTTCAGCAGCTAGCTTCTAGTATCTCTCTGGCAATTGAAGGTAACTGGCCGGGGCCAATCTCTGGTTGCTTGAAGGCCCAGGGTGAATGGGGCTACCTGCTCTGCCGCAGGGAGAAAGGCTCTTTCCTATCTTCTCTGATCTCAAGTCCCTCGTCCCTGTGTGTGACAAAATTGACAGCAGAAGTTTGTTCGGGGCAAATTCACATGTTTTAGGTAACTCAAACCCTCTCTTTCTCACTCCAAATTCTCCTGTGGAGGCAGGCAGCCATCCTGTTCTGGGCCTTGCTAAACCAGGTGATGTCAGACAGCCTCAGAACTGAGTCTTTCTTACCCACCCCGTCTCCTGGGCCAGCACCAGGTAGAGACCTTCCTTTACCCTTCTTTTTCCTCATACCTGGCTGATCACCCAGCATAAGTGAGTGCCCGGACTGGCCATCCAGCCTGAGGCCCCCACGGGGCCAAGAGGTCGTTTCTCAGAGATCGGATGCCCCTTTTGGAAAGTGCACCCGAGTCCCTCTATGGATGCCAGTGGAACCCACTGTTCATCTCAGCGAGATGCCCCTCAAGAAAAGTGCAGTTCATGCCCCTGATTGACATTGCCCCTGAGCAGCGTGTTTTCCAGCCCCACCATGGGACAAACCCCATCCTTCCTGCAAACTCACCTCTAAGCTGTATTTTAAAGAACTGGGACAAATTCTACCCCCAAACTCTCAAAAAGAAACATCTAATTTTCTTGTATAACACAGCATGGACTCTATGCAGAAAGTTATCAAATTAGCCTCCTCAGTCTCTATAAACAAGAACAAAATAAGGAGGACAGGACTAAGAAAATAACAAACACGGAGACAGAAGGCAGGCGCCACTGTTGGCTGCTTTACAAGCCCCAGCTCCTACTCAGATAACAACTCACAGACTTCCAGCTTATCACCAAACACCTCAATTTTCCAGACATCCCAGCTGACAAAAAAATGCAGGTTACCTCCCGGCTACCCTGGCCTTATCAGTACTGCACATAACACTCTGCAGCCTAACAGCCATCTTCATCCCACAAAATCCCCAGCAAGCCTTTGTTTCCTTGCAGTCAGCTGCTCTCTCACAGACTGCCCACGCCTCCCTGGCAACATGTTTTCCTAATTCCTCTAATAAATCTGCCTTTCTCTGCCTACAACTGCCTTGGTAAAATTTTTTTCTTTTTTCTTTTTCTTTTTCTTTTTTTTTTTTTGAGACAGAGTCTTGCTCTGTCACCCAGGCTGGAGTGCAGTGGCACAATCTTAGCTCACTGCAACCTCCACCTCCCAGGTTTAAGCAATTCTTCTGCCTCAGCCTCCCGAGCAGCTGAGACTACAGGTATCCGCCACTACGCCTGGATAATTTTTGTATTTTTAGTAGAGAGGGGATTTCACCATGTTGGCCAGGCTGGTCTGAAATTCCTGACCTGAAGTGATCAGCCTCCCAAAGTGCTGGGATTACAAGCATGAGCCACTGCATCCAGGCAGTACATTCTTCTACCCTCACACCACCAGCCCAGTTAGCCATCACTCTCCTGAGACACTCAGAAGGCAGTGGCTAGGATGATTCTTCCAGAGGCCATCCTGTGCACCTGCAGGCCCTGGGCTGGGTGGGTGTTCAGCCCAATCCCTAGAGATCCCATGCAAAGAAATGCTGCCCTAACCTACGGTCCACACAACAGGCAAAGCAATTTAGCTAAAATCTGACCATGTCACTTCTCTGGTTAACAGCCCAAATATCCCCTAGCCCATCCACTGAAAAACCAACATCTTAACATTTGAGTCTCCATGATAAGCCCCAAATCCCTCTCCAGCCTCATCCCCTGCTGCCCACAGCTTCTCATGAAAGCTCCAGCAACCCCAAATTACCTGCAGCTTCCCACCTCTGCCACCTGGCTCCTGTTGCCCCTCTGCCCAACATGGTCCCTCTTTCTCCTCGCAAACCCTGCCGCTGCTAACTCCTACTTATCCTTCAAGACACTCAGGCTCAAATCTTTAGAAAGCCCCTGTGCAGGGCCTGCTTCTCCTTCTCCTCCCTTAATTCCTCCTAGCACTTCCATCATTGCACAAGCCAGATTATATCCCAACTGATCACATGTCTGTTTCACACCAGTCTAAGGGCTCCTTGAAGGCAGAGGCCAGCTCTAGGTCATGTTTGCTTCTGTAAACCCAGCCCAAGCACAATGTCAGGCACAGAGTAGGCACTCAGCAGACACTGGGTGGAAAGACTGATGAATGCATGCCCAGAAGTTCTAGTAGCCAATGTTTGTTCATTTGTCTTAAGGGAAGACATTGTTTGCCTGGGGTTGGTGCAAACAATTCCAAGAAATACAGTTTCCCTTTGCCTCAGTGATTTTTTTCCTTTTGTTTTCTCTTGTTTTTCTGAGAATCACCTCTATGCCTCAGACATCCCCTATACCTTAAAAAAAAAAAAAAGACAGAATCTCACTCTGTGGCCCAGGCTGGAGCGCAGTGGCACAATCTCAGCTTACTGCAACCTCTGCTTCCCAGTTCCATGCAATCTTCAGGCCTCAGCCACCCAAGTAGCTGGGATTACAGGCCTGCACCACCATGCCCAACTAATTTTTGTATTTTCTACAGAGATGGGATTTCACCATGCTGGCCAGGCTGGTCTTGTATTCCTGACCTCAAGTGATCCATCCTCCCACAGTGCTGGGATTATAGGCCTGAGCCACCCTGTCTGGCCCTTCTGTACCTCTTTCTTCCCTATTCTGATACTTTGTTTCACCTTCTTTATCACTTTTGTTTCTTTTCCTTTCCTTGGTATTACATTCCTGTGCCTTTGTTGCTTTGTATCCGTTTTTCTTCCTCTTTCTTTTGTGGTTGAGTGGCTCTCTGTGCTATTGCCCTTTAGCCACAGTTGGAAGCTGGTAAGAGTATTCCTGGGGGCCAGGTGCGGTGGCTTATTCTGTAATCCAGCACTCTGGCAGGCCAAGGCAGGGGGATCACTTGAGCCCAGTAGTTCAAGACCAGCCTGGGCAACATAGTGGGACCCTGTCACTATAAAAAATAAAAAAATAGCTGGGTATGGTGGGGTATGTCTGTAGTCCCAGCTACTTGGAAAGCGGAAGCAGGAGGATGACTTAAAATCAGGAAGTGAGCCAGACCCGGTGGCTCACGCCTGTAATCCCAGCACTTTGGGAGGCCAAGGCAGGCGGATCAGCTGAGGTCAGGAGTTCGAAACCAGCCTGGCCAACATGGAGAAACCCCGTCTCTACTAAAAATACAAAAACATTAGCCAGGCATTGTGGCGGTTGTCTGTAACCCCAGCTACTCAGGAGGCTGAGGCAAGAGAATTGCTTAAACCCGGGAGTTAGAAGTTGCAGTGAGCGGAGATCATGCCATTGCACTCCAGCATGGGCAACAGAGCAGTACTCCATCTCAAAAAAATAAAAATAAAAACAGAAAAATAAATCAGGAGGTGAAGCCTGCAGTGAGCTATGATC